ATGTTTGTTATTTTCCTCCTTATTTTATACAGGTTACACTCAAGGCAGCTTCAAGGACTCCTGAATGATAGGGACTCTGGTGACCTTGGGTCTATCCTTTATACGGGGTCATGTGCAGGCGATAAACCCGAACGCCTCACTCTAAATCGTGTCGCTGCTGGAAGGAAGGATAACCCTGACTACTCGGCTGTATGATAAAGTGTGACTGCCTCTGAACACACCTCTATTTTTATACCTACCAAAATTCTGCATGACAGTCTGTGAGTCCTCCAACCCATTGAGCTCGGTCCGGGGAAGGATATCTAACCGGACCCTTGAAGCAGTGGGGGCGCGACAAAAATAGCGCCGTTGCTGGGGACTCAAAAACTTTGAGTTCCTGTGAGCGGACCTTGGTCACAATATTCTGTGACTAGGCAGGAGTCTAGCATATATCGTACAAGATCTGGCTCAGTTCAGAATGACTTTCGGCTAGAGGAGCCCCGAGAGGGGGGGCCTCTTGCAGCAGTCTATCTGAAATGATTCAGACTGGCAAGCAAGGGTTTGAAATTTGTTTTCTGGACCCTTCGCTTGAGAAGTCCATAAGTCAGAAACCAGATGATGACTGAAGAGTATAATGTCCTAGAAGCCTTAACTCGTGTTACGTGCGGTGGTGCTTTCCCTTATATGTTTGTCAAATGCATTACTTATGTGAAAAGTACAACGACTGTGCATGTGCTTGTCTCTAGATTCCTTGACATTGATGACTATGATATTCGACCCTACGTCCTAGAAGGGAATGATCGGGATCCGAGTTTCTTTACCAACTGGGATGTTATAGTAGAGTGTATCAAAGTCGAGAGGGATCAGTTGAGACAGCAAGGGATAGAAGCGAGTTGGAGCTTACTGCCTAGGATTTATAAGAGGATTCCTACCCCGCCAGTACCTAAAGGATTCTGCGATGGTAAGAACTAGCAGCCAATCATCAATACAGCACTAAGAAGGCAAACCTGGTAAGTAGTCAATGTCAGGAGTAACGAAAGCGATTGAGGCGCTGATTAGGATTACGGCTGGGGGTGTCTTCCCGTACGTCATTGAGAGGTGTGTGACTTGTGAACACGACTCAGTGATCTTGTACACCCTTGTAGCTCGTTTTTTTTTATACGGATGACTATGAAGTGAGGCCATACGTAGCTGCTGAGACAAGGAGAGGGATCGATTACGAGGCATGTTGGATAGCTGCTGCTGAGTATGTCCTGGGTGAAAGGTTGTTGTTGAGAGAACGAGGGAAGAAAGTGACTTGGAGTGTCCCGCCTAGAGAGTTTGAGAGGTTCCCAAGTCCACCTGTCCCCGCTAGCTTCTGCGACGGGAAGGACTGGGGACCAATCCTCAACGCGGTATTTAGGGACCAAGTGTGGTGAGTCATGCCAAGAGATGTCTACATTCCTGACGACGGAGAGAGTTTCTGCTTCGAGGTCTATCTAGATGGGCAACGAGCGACTGTCATCGGGGTCTTGAGAGGATGCGGCACTAGGCTAGGTAGGCGCGATGAGATTGGCATGGTAGAGCACTACCTTGAGCTTATGCGGGCGGCTGTTTTTAGAGCAATTACGAATCAGACTAAGATTAGGCATTTGCTGGATTGCAAGAGTTTGGACGACAGGAGAGTGATGCTGCATGCGAGAGATGAAACCATCCTATCTAGACAGCGTCCTGCGGACAGTCTGGCTAGAGACGCTAGAAGCACCCCAAGGCAATGATACTGGAATGTGAAAATTCTATGTCAATTGCGACTGTGACCATTGAAAGAGGATGGTTAGATAAAGTAACTGAGACTGACAATCCGTTCGAGATATTGAGACACGACGTCTATAAGGAAGGGCGTTTAGTATTCTATGTTCCAGTAGTCAGATTTCTCAAGACTGACGAGCTTGACGTGAGGGTTTATGCTCAAAAAGGAATAAAAGAGGAAGAAGGTTATTTAGAGTGTCTGAGGAGAGTGTACATTCACCTCTCGAGGATAAGGGAACTGCTTCGAAGCTTGCATGAGAAAGTGACTTGAGGGAAACGAGTCAGGCAATTTGCAAGACTCCCTAGTTTTCTGACTACCAATAGCTTCACTGACAGGAGAGACTGGGCGCCTCTTCTAGAAGTTATTGCCGTGGTTGGTAAGACAAGATAAAATGACCTAGTCATGTGACCAAAGACGTTGTTTTCCAATACCTTTGTACGTCGATTCGAAGTCCAGGACGAAGGATCTCCTGAATTTTCTATCACTTGACAAAGACAAGAAACTTGTTGGCTTCTTAGATAGAAACTCGGTGAATGCAGGGCTGACTAAAGATGGAGAAATTATGAGATGGCGAAAGGCAACCGTGAAAGCCGGATTGAAGGTAACTTAGTAAGACAGGGGATAGAGAATGAGCTGACAAGACAAAAATCTGAGAAGGTGAAAACCCTCATTCGCAGTTGGAGCCGTGAGGACCAATGCTTGTTAGGGATTTTGATTTGTAGGAGGGTTCGAGATCCAGTAACAGAGGTAGTAGAAATCAGGAAAGGCGCGTCTTGCATCGACGAGGCTGAAGGTGAACTCTATATTGACACCGACGTCGATGGAGTAGAAGGCGAGCACGAAGTCTATGATGAATATGGAAGATTGAGAGTAATATGGGGTAGGTTGATTGAGAGATTCTCCTACAGGCATGCGGGACATCAGAGTTTCACTATCAGGGCTAATGAGTCCTCGACCTCGAGACACATGCTCGTGATCACCTACTCGGTTAAGGGGGCAGAGATGGGAGTGAAGGGCACTACGTACGACAGGATTGCGGATTACATATTTTGCAGGGAGAGTTATTGGAGGGACAATTGGCTGCACGTGGTGTTCCCTCGCGTACCTTCAGCTCCTGGGGGTGTGCTTTTCGATTTTGATGGATGCAACCCCAAGCCCCTTAGTGAGCCTCGCAGCAAGGAGAAGAGGCGGAAGGACGGTCCGATTCAGAGAGAGATAACCAGATCCAGAGTCCCAATCACTACCTGTGCCCCGAAATCAGAGACAGATGAGTCGGATTTGGAGCCCTGCTCTGTGAGTGACCTTGATCTTGGCGATTATTTCGACTGGGACACTCACAGGGGTTGAGTTTATGGACGGCGACAGGAGCGCTGGAGACCAGTGAGCGGAGACGTCGGAGGGCGACATTGAGGAGGATCGCACATCTTCTTGCACGGTATCTTCTTGAGGGTGATTGACTCCTACATGTCAGACGACCCTAGGTCTGAGACAGTTATT